CAGCAGGTTGGAGGCAAGCCATCAGAGCACGCCTGCGGGGCATCGGTGGAATGCAGAGGGTGGCCGCTATGCCCTCGTGCCTTCCGGGCTCTCTCTCATGGAGTCTGCAGCTGCTGTGCTTGGACTTCTTACGTGGCCCTTCTCCAAGAGGGCTCCCTCTGGAACCTCTGAAAGACGGTGTTCCCCTCGTCAAGTTGCATGGGGGTGTCCACTGCTTCTCCCGCTGGCAGAGCCGTGGGGCTGCCTGGGCCGCTGTCCACCTTGGTCTTCAGTATCCCATCCTGCCACCTGCCTGCTGCTCCCTTCATGCATCATGTCTGCATCAGATTCCTTAAGCATGTCACATGAGATGTTTAGGACAGAAGTGCTAATGCTAAAACCAGACAGGTTTTGCATTTTTTTTTTAACTTAAAAAAATTGGACCTTTTTTTAATATCTTTTTTGCGAGAGAAGCTAATAATACACTGATGCAAAAGTGACTTTATATCAGGAAAACAAATGTGAACATTTGGCCAGCAGGAGAAAGTAATATAACCCTGACCCTTTGTCGGTAATGTGAGGATAAAAAGCTAAGTTTAATAGGTGACCGACATACAACTGAAAACAGTAACCTGGGACTGTTAGAGCAGAGACTGTGGCCCTGCTGGGAGAGAAGTTTCTTTCACTGAGAGAAACGCCCGTGGAAGTCAGCTTGGCAGTCAGTTACTGGTGACTGTGTCTGAGGGGTTCCTCTGTTTTGTTTTTTGGTAAAATGATCACATTTTGTTTGTCATGTTTACTTTGGTATGTTAAATATTTCATTTCGCTGCGTTTTTCTTCCCAGAGTCTCCTCTATTTGTATGGTAGAATTGATAGCCCATATGTGCTTTCAAGAGCAATACCAACTGAAGTAATTTAAGAAGATAGAGAATTGTATTAGTTTTCTAGGGTTGCCATACTGAAAACCCAGTGGTATAAGACAACAGAAATTTTTTCCTTGCAGTGTGGAGACCAGAAGTCCGAAATGCAGGTGTCAGCAGGGGTGGTCCCTTCTGGAGGCTTTTTGGGAGAATTTCTAGCTTCTGGGGTTGCCAGCAATGCTCGCTGTCCTTCAGCTCCAGTCTCTGCCTCTGCTGTCACTCGGCTGTTGTCCCTTGGCTGCTGTCACCCGCCATCCCCCCGTGTCTCTCCTGTGTGGCCTCTCCCCATATAAGATTTAGGGCCCATCTGGTTAATCCAGGATGATTTTGTCTTGAGATCCTTCATGTAATTATATCTGCGAAGACCCTCATATTCACAAGTTCCAGGGGTTAGGACTTAGACATATTTGAGGGGGCCACTATTTAACCCAAGGCAGTAATAAATATTTCTGGTTTAGTACAGTTTTTAAGATTCTGATTTCAAGCAATTGGGTGGGGATGGATGCTGCAGTTTCCCCTCCTATGCAAAATCCTAGAAATGATTTAAAAAAAGGTATGTATTATCTTAAATACTGTAAATATACATTGTACTTGAGAGAAAATGGGGGGCGCAACTCTCAGTGTCTTGGTGCACCCGAAAGGGTAAGGAGTCTGTGAGACACGCTTGCATGGTCTGTAGCCGAAGGGCTTCCCGGTGGGGAGAGTGTGGGGTGGGGATAGTGTGGGATGGTATTGCCAAGGAGGTGGCTGCAGCAGGGGGCTCCTCCCAGGGACAGCCTCGGGGTATTTACTTGAGAAATGCAGTAGGAGCCACCAACAGAACTACCGACAGAACAAGTGCTGGGCATCCCTCCCTCCCCCAGGCCGTGGAGGTATCTGACGCCAGCCCTGAGCAGTGATGTGGTCGGGGCAGCACCATAGGTGGCCGGGGTGCCCGCAGTTCCAGACCTGGGATACACACGGGCCAACAGCACAGCCCACCTATTCCCCATCTCTCCCTGAGGGCCAGGCAGGGGCACCCAGGCAGCAGTGCCTGCGCATCCCCCAGCCGGGGGTTAGTCCAGCAGGAGTCCCTGCCCTCTGGGCACCTTTAAGAGACATTGGATGCTGATGGGAACGCCCTGGAGAACTCATCCATGAAGAAACACTAATTACACAGATCACAGCAGGACTAAGTATCATCCTGAGACACTTAACACCTGAAATGATAGCCGGTCTGGGATTTATGTCAAAATAATTGAAGTGAGTCCCCTGCCAAGAAATGGGTGGAGAGAGAGATGAGGTTAGATGGGTCATGAGTTGATGATCGTTGAATGATGAATTGCCACCCAGAATGGAGGGGAGGGTAGTAATGAGGTTAATTCCTTGTCTCTTACAGGCAGCTCAAAACAGAGGTATGTGCCTGGGTTTTTTGTTTTGGTTTGGTTTGAATTATAAAATTAGCAACCAGAACAAGTGAAGATAGAAATAATGAAAATTTACCCAATTCTCAGGCGTGAGATTGGCAAGGGAGACTTTTCATTTTATACTTGTTTTTTTTTTTATTAGCACAAATTACCTTTATAAATATTAAAATGTAAATCATTCACAAATGTTGGTAATTTTTCTTACTAATTACAAAACTTCTGTGACTTGTCTTACAACATTACAGTTACGAACTGCCGATTAACCATGTTCAAACCCGGAGGTTTACCCTCCCTTGTCTTATTTCCTAGAATTGGGTGGAAATGATTGGAAGGTGATAGCCCATCACAGAGTATTGTGCTGGCCCGAGAAAGGTCTGGGGTTGAAGCTTAAGACCATGTTATGTGACTCTTGAGAAAAATGTCACCAGTTGTCTAATGGGTCATCACTAGGGTGAGGATCCTAAGGTGGGAAAAGGTGAGGTCACCCTTGGACAGTGTTAAAAGCCGCAGGCTGACTTCAAGGCGTGAGTTAGGAGAAGAGAGTAACTTCTTTCCTCGGCCCTTGGTTATTTCTGTCAGGAGATTTTTTTTGATTGAAGTAGAGTTGATTTACAGTATGTGTTAGCTTCAGGTGTACAGCAGAGTGACTCAGTTACACGTATATCCGTACGTACCCTTTTTCTAATTATTTTCCACTATATGTTGTTGCAAGGTAGTGAATACAGCTCCCTATGCTATACAGCAGGTCCTTGCTGTTTACCTGCACGTCAGGAGATGTTTTCGATGGTTCTTCTCCATACGTATCCTTGTCTTGGTTGGACATGGACGTGGGGTGTGGGGAAGCCATGCACCTTCGGTGGGTTTATCAGAAAAACATTCCTGAGAGAGAGGGTGACGGGGTGCTGGTGGAGTGCCGAGCGGTGGGCGTGGAGGGCTGAGAGTGTCGCCTTCGTAAGTCAACACGGTTGAAATGTATAGATGTCTGTGCTTCCTTCCTGTACGTCTGTCCCCGGGCCTGTTGCCTCCCTTCAGACGGCCCAGCCCTCCCAGGGCAGAGTCAGGGCAGAGCACACATGGGCGCTTGCCCAGTGCCCCTCGCTTGCCTGGGCCTAGCCAGACACGGCTCCCTCTCCCAGGAGATACCGGGCAGCTCCCTCCTCTCCTGGTGCCTGGTTTCCTTTCTGTGATGCTGTTTCTGGAGAGCAGTGTACTTCTGCTTTCCCTTGATGCCTTTGTGATTGTAGTTGGAAAAGCTGTTCACATTTGAAATCTTCTACCTTCAGTGTTTGAATCAATGACAACAAACCAATGTGAGATACAGCCAGGATCAACCCATTTCTATGAATTGGTATTATTTAACGCCTGCCACTGAATGTTAAGTTGTTTGTTTTTTCTAAATGCACTTTTGCTTGTCTTCATGATTTACGACTATTGCCAGTGTTGTTTAAGTCTATTCTGATGGTGATAAATGGATTCATTTGGGAAGATCAGCTGTTTTGATTAAAAGTGAATACAGGTTAGTGGAAGGAGCTTGTGTACAATTTTCTTGTCAAAGAGTGGCGACGAGGCAGCCAGCAGGGTTACTCCGTCTGCTTTGAGTATCAGTCCCTGGCCCTCCGCTAGCCAGCTCATCTCCACAGAGCCCCTGCTTGCTGTCAGACTGAAAACAATCCAGCTGTGAGTGTGCTGAAAATAAAAATTGTGTGCATCTTCAGTTTTGAGGGGGTGGACTGCTTTTTGCATAGTCTTATTTATTTATTTTTTACTTCAAGGAAGAAAGTTTTTAAAAAAAGAAAATGTGTTCAAGTTGTTTAGTTATTACCTTATGATTTTATTTTATCCAAAAGAAAAAAATGGGAAAGCTTTGAGTTAGATGTATTTAAGTGGAAAAAAGAAATGTTTCACTTCATCTGGCTTCAGTTAAGCACCTTAACAGGTAGCATTAGTTGGTTGATGCTTAGTAAGGAAATACAGTAGTAGTTGCAGTTAAGTCTTTGGAAGTATGGGGACAAAGAGAAATGTTGAGTTTACTCAGCACTGGGTCAGGGATATAGCAAATCATTAGTATTAGGTATCATGTTGTCACATTAACTTTTTTCCAGAGTATAAACTATAAAACTATAAGTTTTAAAGTCTGAAACTACCTTGGTCGAGCATTTCAAAACCCTTAGGCGATTCTAAAACTTGTGCATCACTTCCTGATACAGGATTCTGATAAGAACCAGGATAAATCTCAGGTTTCTCAAAACAAGCAAAAAACGTAGACATGGGGCTTCCCTGGTGGCGCAGTGGTTGAGAGTCTGCCTGCCGATGCAGGGGACACGGGTTCGTGCCCCGGTCTGGGAAGATCCCACATGCCGCGGAGCGGCTGGGCCCGTGAGCCATGGCCGCTGAGCCTGCACGTCCGGAGTCTGTGCTCCGCAACGGGAGAGGCCACAACAGTGAGAAGCCCGCGTACCGCAAAAAACAAACAAACAAACAAACAACAACAACAAAAAAGTAGACATTAGCCTTGTAATTTCAAACCTGTGATTTGTTGCTTTGAAAATTAAGGATTGCTTTCAGAATTTAACATGATTTTTATTCTGGGCTCCTGAATTGCAAACGAAATATTTCTTTTTTCTTTTTAACAAAAGAAAATCCAGATGAAGAAACCCCTGTAAAAATATTTTAATAAAATGTATCTTTATTTCAGTATCTTAAATAGTGAAGATGAAGAAATATTCAATAATGAAGAGCATGAATATGCATCCAAAAAAAGGAAAAAGGACCATTTTAGAAATGACAAAAATACTCAGTGTAAGAACATTTTCATTAATAATTTCATATTTACTTGTTGAATATGTTGATAAATTGAATGGCATTGACAGTGCTGTCTTATGACGTAAATGCTGATACAGTTATACACGTAGCAGCACTGTATCCACAGTTGCCCACTGACTTAGTGGTCAGATATTTGCAGCTCAACCATTTAGTTGAGTAAGTCATTAGTAAGATTTGCTACAAGGAAACCAAAGACAGGAAAACCTACAAAACAGCCTCTGTGTCTGAATGTTGAATAGCAGTCCTGAATTCAGGTCCATTCACTCCCAAGCAGTAAGGCCGAACCTTAGGGACCTTGACGTTGGGCTTTGGTGCAGGAGACGCTGCTGGTTCGGAGCAGAAGGTAGACATGGTCAAAACTGGAGCCATGCAGGCGGGACGGGGATGGGGAGGCTCTGAAAGGGCCCCTGTGCAGACGCCCAGACTTGAGTCCCTGAGACCCTGTTAGTGAATTCAGTCGTGCGCCCTCTGGAGGCCGCCGTGGACAATGTACTCGTGATCCTCAAAGCTCTGGGATGTGAGTTACTTGGAAAGTGTATTTAAATGGAACACCATACGGGGCCATGAAAGAGGAAGAGAACTTTTATTAGGGTATATACCAAATGCACTTTTATAACCATTTGTATTTGGATATGACTGCAGTCACTTGGTGACACTTTTTTCTTCCAAGTTACCTAGACGTGGTACTGTCATAAATCATCTTTCACGTAAAGATGTTTCAGTACCTCTTAAACTGATATTAGGAAACGAAGCAATTCTGGTTGCATTTAGCCAAGTCAAAGCATCTCTTATCTATATGATGTCAGATAATTTTGTTAGCATGTGCCACTGTTGAAGTTCCTTAAAATCTTCATTTTGTAATGATTCACCAGCTTTTAAAAAGAAGTTAATTTTTATTCTAGGTTTTTATCGTGAAAAATGGATCTATGTCCATAAAGAAAGCACAAGAGAAGTAAGTATTCTATTATAAATAAGAGTATGTTTTGTATTGTTACTGTTGAATATGTGATGTTACATTAAATTGTTTCTTTTGCAATATCACACCTGTGTCCACATTCTAAGAGGTGAAAGCATAAGAGGGTCTTGAGACAGTGTTTCGTGTGTGTGGTGTATGTCAATGCCCCGTACGAATCTGAATCAGCGGAGGGCTGTTTCAGAAGAAGTATGGACCCCCAGGTACTTTGATGTTTCCTTCCCTGCCCTCCCCAAAAGCTGTTCATAGTGAGCCTCTGGTACTAGTAGGGCTGTGTCTTGGCTCTCCTGTGTTTTGGGTTGGTGAGAACAGTTTGTAAACCCCTCATTTATTTTGTAGAGTAGCAGCTAAGGTGATGGTAGTTAAGCTGGAATCTGCAAAGAGCAGTTGAGCCCTGCCCGCCTTTCTTTTGCAAAAGGTCTGTTCACCTCAACTCTGCATGTTTCTTTTTTCTCTCGGTATCTGGAGAAGCTTGCTTCCATCTGTTGTCTGAGAAACTCTGCATTGGCCTTATTTTGCAACAATGGGGGAAAATACTCAGGGAGCGGTTGTTTAGCATGTATTATGTTAGCGTAAGTTAAGGGTTCCAGAAGTGTTAATAGTGGGTGTTCTGAAACCAGCCCAGCTTCCTAGAAGCTTAAGGATTAGATTCTGAGATAGAAAATTTATCCAACCTATTTGGCGATGGTTAACATTGTTAAATGGGTATGAAACCACTCTAACCCGTAACATACACTCCAGTACACCATTGGAAGGTGTTTGGCGAATCTGACCTAGTTTGAGCTTATGAAAGACTGTTAGACATTTGGACTTCCCTGGTGGTGCAGTGGTTAAGAATCCACCTGCCAACTCAGGGGACACGGGTTCTAGCCCTGGTCCGGGAAAATCCCACATGCTGCGGAGCAACTAAGCCCGTGCACTACAACTACTGAGCCTGTACTCTAGACCGCGAGCCACAACTACTGAGCCTGCATGCCACAACTACTGAAGCCTGTGCGCATCGAGCCTGTGCTCTGCATCAAGAGAAGCCACCGCAATGAGAAGCCCTTGCACTGCAACAAAGAGTAGCCCCTGCTCGCCGCAACTAGAGAGAGCCCGCACGCAGCAATGAAGACCCAATGCAGCCAAAAATAAATAAATAAAATAAATTTATTTTAAAAAAAAGAAAGAAAGACTGTTAGACATTTCATTTGCTGGGTGTCACGACACTGATTACAGAACAGAGGTCCAGCTTCGGCTGCACACGCGGCAGCGGGGGAACTTGCGGTGAGTCTGCAGAGTGTTGCGTGGGTCCTGGGAACCGGCACAGGCAGGGGCCAGGACTTGGAGCTGGTCCCATCTCTCTCCGCATCACATCACGCCTTTGGTCTTCTCACCTGGGGCCCGCCAGGTGTTTGCTGCTTGTGTGCTTCAAACGTGTGATTTTATTTCCCCCCAAAGAAGAGGCTGTTGTGAGATGGGTGACTGCCTGGAAGGAACACCAGTGTTTGGAATTCTGTTCACTGAGAAAGAGAATAGTTCCCGGCTGTGATTGATTTCAGGTTGTGATCGATAACCAGTTAATCTTGGCTTCCTCCACAGCTCCCAGGAAAATATTTTGTACTTAGTGGATATTCAGTAAAAATACATAATGAATGTTTTAAATAAGTGTATCTTGTAGGCTTGTGCACACATTGAGAGTGTTGTTGGGATTTGGATGTAAAACCAAATCAGCCCTCACGGTGCGTCTTCTGTCAGAGACTAAGGATTTCCCCTCCAGCTCCCCCTCTGGCCCCTCTCCTGTCCTCTGTTTGAAATGTGAGGCGTGTTTGTCACCTCATGTTTTCTGTGATTATTCCCCACTTTATCTATACTCACAACTGTGCATTGAAGATCTCTTTATGTTCTAAGTATTCCAATACAGAAGATTGAGTTTAAAATGTCTTCTGAAACCTGGGGTAGAGATCTGTACAAACCAGTATGGAATATAGGGCATATCACTGCCCACGGTCACGTCCCGTCACCTCTAGCCCTTTGCACCCACATGCTGGTATTCAGAACCCCACCCCACTCAGGTGCCTCGCGGCCTTGATCCTGAGCGGCTGGGCGTATGTCCAGGCCTGCAGGCACACAGGACTCCCCGCAGAGGAATCGAATTCCAACGTGTAGTTATAGCAGATGCTTCTTCATAGTGGCCAAGCATGATTTATGTATTTGTAGTTGCACAGCCTAGAATACATCCAGTTATTTTATGATTTTAGGCTTAATTTTGTCCCCCCCAAATGCATGCCAACAAAGGAAATTGACAAATATTTAATCAATATTTATCCTTGTCATTAAGTGGTGTAGAAATGTCAATGCGTAGTGTCTTGATTATATAATGACTTAAATTTAGCATTGTTTTAATTTTACTCTATTTTCAGCTAAATATGGAGTAGATCATAATAAAAACGAATATCCTTTGCCAAAATTAAAAAAGAAATTGCGCAGACTAATTCACGTTAACTGTTCGCTCGTTTTGACTCATGACTCATTTGACAGATTTTCACTTGTGTCTCTTTTTCCAGAGACACGGCTACTGCACTTTGGGAGAAGCTTTTAACCGCTTAGACTTCTTCAGTGCGGTCCAGGACGCCCGGAGGTTCACTTACGTGGCCAGAGTGAGTATTTTATTTCAGAGTCACTTGATGACACTTTGGGGCGCCTGCGTTTTGAGGATTTTCATGTGAAACATTTCAGATGCTTTTGACAGCTGCGCACAGTTGTGCTTGTTCGCTGGTAGAGAACCCCCCGGGGCCGGGCAGTCGGGCGAGGCTCCGGGCTGGCGCTGTGGCTTCTGCAGGCTCCCGCAGGGGCAGGGGCACACTCCCCGCCCGTTGCGCTGTCGGAGATGCAAAGAGGAGGCAGAAGGTATCCTGGGAATCCTTTCACATGCATTTTCTACTTTGTATTTTTCACGGAGTATGATCCCTGCTTAATAGAGGGACCGTGGGCTAACAGAAAGAAGGAAATTTATACCGAATGGAACTCCACAGAAGCCTTATTGTGTAAATAACATGTTTTTAGAGGAAATTTTTGTCTTGGCCTACATTCAGAAAAGAAAGGATCTTGCCATATATTCCATTTACTGTCTGCTTTTATTTGCCTAACAAACTTATTCACCTTCTTACTATTATAGGCAAAGAGTAAGTGATGGGTCACAAAGCTGTTGATTTTGGATTTTTAATGGTGCTGTGAGACTCTGGAAAGATATTCCTTGTAATGCCTGCTAGGCATTTGGAAGTGCTACCGGAAGGACAGAAAACTGGGTGGTTAAATGATTTTAAGCCCGAGTGTTTGGTTTGGTTCCAGTCAGAGTTTGCCGGGCATCCATGTGACCAGCACCTGGGGTTCCTAGCCACGTGCTCCCTGCAGCCTCACCAGGTGGGGGCTGTGTGGAGGCCGTAGTCCCTCCGAGGGTTCGAGTTCTCCCAGGTGCCTGCGCACCAGACAGGGGCCTCCACCAGCTACCTCTTCCCTCCAGGAGACCAAACTGGAATTTGACTCCACTTTGTAGAAATGCCAAGATTTGAGTATCCAGGAAAACGTGTGTCAGCAGAGAGGTCTGTTACACAGTAAGCGTTTACCCACGTGCTTTTTGATACTTCACATCATGCTTAGTTGTCTAATACCAGCCACTCTGGACCGCGATCCACACAAGGGATTTTACTCGTGGGGGCGTGAGAGAGACTCTGGGGCAGGATGGAGACGCGGGAGGGAGGACGGAGACGTGGGAGGGAGGACCGAGCCTCCTGGTTTCAGTGCTGGGCTTTCTGCTCATCTTGCTGGTCCAGGCCCTTGGTTTGCTGACCAGAGAAGGTCTGAGCGTTCTGTGCTCTGTGTCCTACTGAACCTGGTCAGCTGAACAGCCTTGGGATCTTTGTTTTGTCCACATGCTGATCTCTTTTTCACTGAGGAGCCTTTCTTCAGACGTTGTCCTCATCCTAGACAGTAGTACCTGGCAGATCGTAGACTTTCTCTGCTGGTTCTTTTGTAGTATGTGTAAAAAAATACGTAACTAAAAAGTAAAATGTGTGGTGTGTCCACGTGCTAACGCGTGAAGTGGTGTTTCTCTGCATCGCCTCTAGAAACGGCCGCCGGGGCTGGTGGCTTTGGCAGCTGCTGAGGCCGCTATGCGAGGCCCACCAGCACCACTGGGCCCTCCCACACGGCTGGCCTCTCTCTGTGGCACTTCCGTGATGGCCGAGCGCTCCCGCCAGGTGGGGCCTCCCCATCAGGGGTCCTTGCCTCCTCACCCTCCTCCTGCCCCTGCTTCCTGCTCCTTCAAACCCTTCCCGAGGCCAGTTGCCTTCCCAAACTGATCTGCTTATGTCTGCCTTCTCCGAAAGACAAAGACAAATGAAGCCAGCTGTCAGTGACTCTGTGATCGGGTCCACGTGCCGTGGCCATGGCGCGCTATCCCCTGGCCCTAGTGACTCTGTGATCGGGTCCACGTGCCGTGGCCATGACCTGCTGTCCCCTGGCCCTAGTGACTGTCTCTGATCGGGTCCACTTGCCGTGGCCATGGTGCGCTGTCCCCTGGCCCTAGTGACTCTGTGATTGGGTCCATGTGCCGTGGCCATGGTGTGCTGTCCCCTGGCCCTAGTGACTCTCTGTGATCGGGTCCACGTGCTGTGGCCATGGCGTGCTGTCCCCTGGCCCTAGTGACTCTGTGATCGGGTCCACTTGCCGTGGCCATGGTGCGCTGTCCCCTGGCCCTAGTGACTCTGTGATCGGGTCCACGTGCCATGGCCATGGTGTGCTGTCCCCTCGCCCTAGTGACTCTCTGTGATCGGGTCCACGTGCTGTACTGTCTCTTCTCCCTTCCCTTTCCTCCTGTTGCCTCCCCAGCAGGCCTGATGCCCCCACTTGCTTTCTTTTGATCGTGCTCTGTGCCTCACCTCTGGGTGACATGTCCTCCTGCACTTGCTGCCACCTTGTCTGTGGGGGTGGGATCCCCTCTCGCTCAGCACCCCGCCACTGGGGTGGAAACACTGCTTTGCGGGTCTGTTAGTGCATCATCGTGCGGTCAGTACCCCTGAATCGCACTGAATCGTAGTTGGCCTCAGTGGCTGGAGTGGTGTCCTTGGCACCTCTCTGCTGCTTTCATGTTTACACCACACTTACTAGGACAGTGAGGGTCTCTTGCAGTTCTTCTCAACAAGACAATTTCCCATAACTTGTGCTGTGTTGTCCAGATGGCCACTCCTTAATATTAGAAGAGCTGTAGATGTACAAGCAGTGGTTTTGAAATGACTGATGAAAGAGTTTCCTTACATTTCGGATGGCATGCAGTAATATTTCCTCTAAGAATTTATATGAAAAGCATTAGTATTAATATTTTATATGAAATCCCTTTGTTTATCTAAAATTAGCATTTTAAACTGAGGCTAATCTGTAATTACTACATAGTTTCAGAATAAAAATTAGTATTAGAGTTTAGTGTTCAGTATAAATTGTTTTAGTTGTCAAAATAAATATAAGCAGTTTGGAATGGAAGTTTAGTCTTTATTCTCCTATACTTTGGCAGGAATGGAAATTTGACGTTTTCTAATTACACAAATCCAAATTAAATTGTCTCTTCCACATCCTGTATATGAAATAAGCCACTTTTGGTGTTGTCTGTTTAAAAATATTTGAAACATCTTCATACCTAGGTTACTTTTGCAAATTTTCAAAATTTTAGTCTGATTTTGAGGAATAAACATTGTTTTTCCAAGCTGCATTCACTCAACTTTTTTTTTTTTTTTTTGCGGTACGCGGGCCTCTCACTGCTGTGGCCTCTCCTGTTGCGGAGCACAGGCTCCAGACGCGCAGGCTCAGCAACCATGGCTCACGGGCCCAGCCGCTCCACGGCATGTGGGATCCTCCTGGACCGGGGCATGAACCCGTGTCCCCTGCGTCGGCAGGCGGACTCTCAACCACTGCGCCACCTGGGAAGCCCCTCACTCAACTTTTTAAAGGAGAATAGAGAACTAATTTCATGTGCCATGTTCCTCAGAACATGGCACCTAATTTAGGGTCACTGTTGAATCACATAGGCAGTGCCTGCCGGCGCTGGTGGGAATCATAAGGAAACCTGTAAACATGGGGTTGTGAGCTGCCCCCTCAGCACTGTGGTGGGATGGATGAGTGCGTGGTCTCTCACACACTCCTCGTGCATTCGGCCTGTTCTGAAACCTCATTCATGTTACATTTTGTCCATCTGGCCACAGATAAATCCAAACACCACTTCTTGCTCTGGGCTAACACGTGCGTAAACACACACACCGCCTCCGCCGCTGAGCTTCGTCTGCACGCTTGTAACCAGTCGTGTTCTTCACCACCATTCAGCAGAATTTGTGTTACAAGCGTAATGCTGTATGTTTAGTTTCAGACTAGTTGGTAGTCAGCGATATGGCGATTATGTTAAACTGCTGTTAAAACTATCTTGTAATTCACACAAAAATGCTTATTTATAGATTGAGAATGTTGTCTTGGCCGGCTACTGAAAAGCCCTTAGCATAATTTATTGAACTATTAAGTTTATTTCCAGAAAATCAATAAAAACTGGTCTTTACTCACTAGTAATTTTTCTCTCCTTAACTGATTATTTGCAGTTATTATTTTATAATATGTGCTGAGAAACTCGCTTATTGGGGGAAAAAAATGACAGTCAAGATGCAGTTTAGATTTGGCCCTGGTGAGTGGACAGTTCTTAATATCTGGTCCGTAATTGAGCTTACTTCTTATTCATACCATTTATATGTAATGTATAAGTAAATTAAAAGCATTTTTGGTCAGTTTTAGGACCTTACTTTCATTAAGATAAATCAAAGACTTAAACTTGGTGGAATTTTGAAAATTTTAAGTAGAAAAATTAACCAAAGACTTGGAATTATTAGCACATATGTAGTTATTTCGCCGCAAAGGGGGAGATTTATAGCAGAGTTGGTATTTTAAAAGGCCTTTGAAGTGGGCTTTTAGCTCCGTGTCATGATTGGAGACTGAATGTCAGCATCTTTACCTCCTGTCTAGTAGTTGGTGTCCCCTGGTCTGAGGTGGGAGGGATGAGAATGTTGGTGCCCACATTGCTGAGCACCCTTAGGAGAGGTGCACAGTCCCATCCTGTGAGGTTGACTTGTCTTTCCAAACTAACAGTGTCAGGGAATCGTCTAATTCACATTCCAGCCATAGACCTCGTCACATCTGTCAGCGATACACACTGAAGTTTCAGCAGTGCAGAGAGGTGGCGTCTGTCCGTAGTGTCATTGCACGCCCGGAAACTGGGCAGCCCCTCAGTGCCAGCCCTTCCTGGGGGAGAGTTGGGTTGTCTCTCTCTGTGGGGCGTGTAGGTCATGCATGGTGGCTCCCTGGAGTCCGAGGCCCCCCAGTACCGCGGGGACAGCAGCTGCGGGTCCTCTGGGAGAGACGGGGCGGGCTCAAGGAGAGCATGGACTGGAAGGGTCGGCATCTGGGGGCGATGGCCAAAGAGGCTGTCAGGAAACTCCCTGAGAGCAGCACAGGGTAGCAGTTGAAATGTATAAACATGCCAGGTGCGCTGTGCTTCCTAAAGTAGGTTCCTCATAGGGGAAAAACTCTCAGAATCGTTACGTTTATGTACCTTTATTTGGAAAATGAG